TGTGCGTCAGGACCGCCTCCCGGGCCGGCGGGCCGGCCGGCGGGCGCGCTGTGGAAGGCGGAGTCTGCTCCGCATCTCGGTGGGTTCCCCAGGGCACCTGTGAATGGAAACGAGAGAGAGATGGACAGAGGTCTTTTGATTTAAAACCTGTATTCTTTCTACTCTTTTTTCTGATCCAGCAAATAGTGATTTCTATTTCTTTGCTAGGCAATTCATGTAATTACGGTGAGTACTTTTCAGGTTTACCTTAGTCCGCTTTTGATTTAAAAACTCGTAAGTCCACATTCATTCTGAAAGCTTAGAGACGGTCCCTTGAAGGTTTTGTTCAAGTGGCTTTTTTCCTTGTAGCAGAGAGCTCAGCCTGTGACCCAGGGCTGACCTTCCGGGCCCTTTCAGAGCGTGCGGAGCGGAACGGGGTTTCTGGGCAAGGAGTGCACGGGCAGCCTCTTCGGCCGGAAAGGGAGAGCTGCAGCGGGGCTTTCTGGGCGGTTTGGGCAGCCGGGAGCTCCAGCCTTCACTACGGTGCTGGGTTGGCTAGTACTGGGGTTTTTTAAATAAATATTTTATTGATTTTTTACAGAGAGGAAGGGAGAGGGCCTCTGTGACTTAAGGAGGTCTGGAAGGTCCTGGGTTCGATACCAACCAAGGGCATATACCTTGGTTGCGGGCACATCTCCGATGGGGGCTGTGCAGGAGGCAGCTGGTTGATGTTTCTCTCTCATCGATGTTTCTAGCTCTGTCCCTCTCCTTTCCTCTCTGTAAAATATCAATAAAATATATTTTTAAAAAATAAATAAAGGAGGGAGGTAAATGTGGAGGACCCCCTCTTAAAAAAATAAAAAAAATAAACATGAAAGAATGCATGGAATAGAATAAAGTACTTAAAAACACACACATTATGTACCAGATAATTAAGATTCTTAGGGAAAAAAGATACTATAGATGAGTTTATATCTTTTTTATTCTTCTACTGTCTGTGTGTGTGTGTGTGTGTGTGTGTGTGTGTGTGTATTATTGATTTCAAAGGAAGGGAGAGAGAGAGACATCAATGATGAGAGCATCATCGATCGGCTGCCTCCTGCACGTCCATCGAGCCCACAACCTGGGCATGTGCCCTAACAGAGATCGGAACGGTGACCTGGCTTGTAGGTTAACAGCTCACCACTGAGCAACACTGGCTCACTGTCGTTTTTTAAGGACTCGGACTTGGAATAAACTTGGACATGCCCTGGAGCCTTCCGGCAGTCCTTCCCCCGAAGGCCAACCTTTCACGTCCCTCTCAGGCCCCAATCATGTGCCAGTGGGTCCCTCGGCCTGGCCTGCACCTTTTCACAATCCTGGACCCCTCGGGATGTCAGAGCTGGTTTCGGCCCGATCCTGCAGGTCAGGTTGAGGGACCCCACTGGTGCACAAATTCTTGCATTGGGCCTCTAGTGATGGTATAAGTTTAGTGACAAGAAAAAAGCACGAGATATGTAATACTTCTGAGTTTGTTTAGCAATGTGTGGTTGATTTATACAAATTAGAAGTAGGATTTCACTTGTCTACTCAGCAATTAATAGTTATGTGTCTGGCCCTGTTCTTGATCCTAGAGATACAGCAAAGCGTAAGATGATCCTGACCCTCAATAATGACAGCTGAGTGTCTGAGTGTGTGTGTGAGTTGGAAGCATTGCCTAGACCCCATGGAAATAAGATGGTGATGTGCAGAGAGTATCGGTTGGAGTGGGAACCAGACTCAGGCCCCTTTGAGGGCAGGGCTCCCCGACATCCAGGCTCCCTGACTCACAGCTCATGTTCTTTAACCATATGCCAGCCTCGTGAGTAGGATTTTTTAATGTTCTTTTTTTTAATATATATATTTTTTTATTGATTGATTTTTTTTATTTTTTATTTATTTTTTACAGAGCGGAAGGGAGAGAGAGAGAGAGAGCTAGAAATGTCGATGAGAGAGAAACATCGACCAGCTGCCTCTTGCATACCCCTTATCGGGGATGTGCCTGCAACCAATGTACACGCCCCCGACCGGAATCAGACCTGGGACCTTTCAGTCCGCAGACCAACGCTCTACCACTGAGCCAAACCGGTTTCGGCGTGAGTAGGATTTTTTAAAAAGTAAAGTGATTTTACATAAAAGGCTGAAGTAAATGAAGCCGACTCTGATGAGTACTTTCTGCAGGGGATTCAGTAGCCTGCTGGTGTGACATTATTCCTACCGACGTCCAGCCTGTAGGCTTTCCTGCTGCCTTTCACATGGCTGCTTCCTCCTCGGCTTTCAGTATTGTGGGACTTCGGAAAACAGTGGCATTTTCAGGGCTTCCAAGTAAATAATCTGAGTTTCCATTTTTAATTTTATGTGCGACGCCCCAGTTTGGCTCAGTGGATAGAGCGTCAGCCCAGGACTGAAGTGTCTCAGGTTTGGTTCAGGTCAGGGGCACATAACCTTCATTCCAGGGTCAATTCCTGGCCCCTGTCCGGGTACATGCAGGAGGCAACCAATTGATGTGTCTCTCTCATGTCAGTGTTTCTCTTTTCGGTGCCCGCCCCCACTCTCTCTAAAAATCAATGGGAAATTCCTCCTGTGAAGATTAACAAAGAATAAAGTGAACGTTATATGCAGTTTTGACTACATGTGAAGAAGGACCGAGCTAGGAACTGTACGTGCTTAGGTGGATGTTGGTAGGACTTGCTCTCCATGGTGCTGGGCACACTGGTCATCCTCTTTTTTTTTTTTTTTTTTTTTTTTTTAATATATTTTATTGATTTTGTACAGAGAGGAAGGGAGAGAGATAGAGAGTTACAAACATTGATGAGAGATGAGAGAGAGTCCTTGATCAGCTGCCTCTTGCATACCCCCTACTGGGGATATGCCTGCAACCGAGGTATATGCCCTTGACCGAAATCGAACCTGGGACCCTCCCGTCTGCAGGCCGACGCTCTATCCACTGAGCCAAACTGGTTTCGGCTGGCCGTCCTCTTGTGGAGGCCAGAATACATTTCCTCCTCAGCAGCTGCGTAGACTTAGAGTGGAACGAGGAGGACATCTTTGAGCCCTGGCAGGCTCTGTTGGTTGAGTGTCATCACATGCCCAGGTTTCTGGTTCTATGGGAGGCAATGGATCAATGTCTGTCTGTCTGTCTCTCTCTCTCCCCCACACACACTTCCTCCCTCCCTCCCACCCTCTCCCTTTCTTTCTCTCTCAAAAATAATGATAATAAATCAGCAAAAACATTTTAAAATCATAGACTGTATCTTTGAGGAGCGTATCCTCTGGTAATTAACGGCCACCGCAGAACGGGTCCAGCCTGGGGTCTGTAATAAATGACTATAAGTGTGTAACGCCAAGGCCTCATGCAGAAGACCCTCGGTAGGTGAAGATTGTGTTATTCTGAGTTAACAGACATCCCTTGATATATGTGTTCTCCCCTTTCATGAATAACCGTGCTGCCTTTTGGAATGCCTGTTTCCCCCCACAATGCGGGTGGATGCTGATGAGTGGCTTTATTGCTTTTTCCCTCTGGGAAGGGGCAGGCGGAGTCAGAGCCAGAAGACAGCTGTTCTCCTGGCTTTGTCCTGAGTCGGTGTCACAGGGGCACCACGCTGGGCAGCTCCAGGCGCCCTGCAGAGGGGCAGGCGGGGGTGCCCTCTTTCCGAGCAGAGCAGCCCAGGAGGAGCCAGAGGCTCTGAGCTGAGGGTAGGCATGCTTGCTTCATAGTTCTTTCTCTCAGATTCTCTGTGAGCAGTGAGTGACGGCTACTACGGGGCCAGTGGTTCTCAACCTTCTCGGGGGTCCAGAAGCACCTGGGAGCTTCTTAAAAATAAGGTGCCTGGGACCCATGCGCACAGTTTTAGAATCGAGAAGCGTTTCCTGGAGGGTCTGTGTGTGCGGCCGGTGGAGACAGTGCAGAGACCAACCATCGGTCACGTTCGTGGCAGTCCAGTAGTGCGTCTGTGAATGTGGGCTACTTCTGTTTGCTACAGGTATTCCCAGAACCAGCCATCAAAATGGGAGAGTTCTTGGGGGTGTGTTTAAGAATGGAATTACAGGTCATATAGTTGTCTTCAATGTTATGAGATTACCCCAAGGGAAGGTGTCATACGATGCGACGTTGGGAATATGTGGGTTTGCCATTTCCCACTTAACAAGGTGACTGGTAGGAAGTGTGCCCAGGAGCTCCTCGATGGGCCAGAACAGACAGGGGCCATCGGAGACAGAACTGGCTCTGGGCCTCAGCGTCAGGTAAAAGGTAGCTAAGGCCTCAACACACGCCACTTTCTCAATGATCTAATGTTGCTTTCCTTTAAAAAAGAGAGAGAGAGAGAGAGAGAGAACAAACAAACATTGATATGAGAGATGTGAGAGGGGCACACGGATTGGTTGCCTCCTGCGTGCATCCTGGCCGAGCTGGGATGAGTCTGCATCCCAGTATGTGTCCTTGACCGGGAATCCAGCCGGAGCAACATCAGCCAGTCACCTTTCCTATAAACGACAGCAGTAGGAAAGTAGACACTACATTTGGCCATTAGCCAAGTTGCTTTTGCATTGATAAGAAAATATAGTAGATAGCAGGGATTGCCTTCACACAATGTGTCTAAGTTTTTCGTATGGTCACTACTAACCTTCTTTAGGTAGGGGCAGCAGTAAGATGTCTGAATTGTTCTTAGGAATAATCTCTACAGAGGAACTATAGGCGACTAAACTTTATATGTAGAAAGCATACAGGTGTGTTTATAGCAGAAGGAAAATGCCTTGTTACTCTGTGTGACTCAACTAATGAGGTCATACGGGCCTTGTAGATGTTAAATGTTTTTACTTGTGCTACGTCTTCACTTGCTCTTAAGGGACTGGGATATATTCTTATGTGAAGCCAGAGTAAGTCAAATTCTGGGAGAAACGAAACAACAGCCTGTTCCTTCCACTCGTCGCCGTGTAAGATCACGCGCTTGCCTGGGTCCCGTTCCCTGCCCCGCTGACAGCCTCCTCCGTGTGCTTTCTTGCAGGAGGTCTATCGGATTCCAAAGAAAAGCCAGACGGAGAAGGAGAGCGCAGGTGAGTGCTCGGGACCCCCGGAATGTGCGAGGTCACTGGGAAGCACTTGGGTAGTTCTGTTTTTGAAACCAGACATTATGTGAGTAAGTGGACTGTTTGGTGTAAACCGTTTGTGAACTTGTAATTTTATGCCTCATTTTGTTTTTTAGTCTTGTTTGTTTTGCTTTGTTGTGTTTTTTTTTTTATATATTTTGTTGATATTTTACAGAGAGGAGGGAAAGAAATAGAGTTAGAAACATATATCAGCTGCTTCCTGCACACTCCCTACTGGGGATGTGCCCACGATCAAGGTACATGTCCTTGACCGGAATCAAATCTGGGACCCTTCAGTCCGCAGGCCAACGCTCTATCTACTGAACCAAACCGGTTAGGGCTAATTTTATGCTTTCTTAGTAAATTTTTGCTGAAGGAGATGTCTCTGTATTATCATTGTTGTTGGTTTCCTTGAAGTCATGAGTAGTCTTTAGTATTTTTTCTTCCATGCATTTGTTCCTTTAGATCAGACATTCTTTTTTTTTTTTTTTTTAATATATTTTATTGATTTTGTACAGAAAAGAAGGGAGAGAGATAGAGAGTTAGAAACATCGATGAGAGAGTCATCGATCAGCTGCTTCTTGCACACCCCCTACTGGGGATGTGCCCGCAACCAAGGTACATGCCCTTGACCGGAATCGAACCCGGGTCCTTTCAGTCCCCAAGCCGACGCTCTATCCATTGAGCCAAACCGGTTTCGGCTAGATCAGACATTCTTTATATTTGTGTGTGTGTGTGTGTGTATTTTTTGGCCATTTATTTGCCAAGCATATATATTTGCTTCCAGAAAGGAGGGAGAGGGAGACAGAAATAGAAACATCAATGATGAGAGAGAATTATTGATCAGCTGCCTCCTGCCCCCCCCCCCCCCCCCTTACTGGGGATTGAGCCTGAAACCCAGGCATATGCCCTTGACCAGAATCGAACCTGGGACCTTTCAATCTGCAGGCAATGCTCTATCCTCTGAGCAAAATGGGATAGGGTTAAAGATTCTTGTATTGGTTTAATAAAAGTTGTCTAATCCTTTTTTAACTAAAGAGACATTTCCTGCCCTAGTTGTTGGTTTGGCTTAGTGGGTAGAACGTTGGCCTGTGAACTGAAAGGTCCCAGGTTTGATTCTGGTCAAGGGCACATGCCTTGGTTATGGGCTCGATCCCCAGTGGGGGGCGTGCAGGAGGAAGCCGATCCACCATGATTCTCATCATGATGTTTCTATCTCTTCCTCCCTCTCCCTTCCTCTCTGAAATGAAAGTATATTAAAAAAATAATAATAATAAGTAGACATTTCCTATGTCAGGCTGCTCTTCTGCAAATTGTAAATCTGTGGGGTTACAGGGGCAGTAGATGGCGTTCACACTTGAACTGACAAGCAGACTGCCTCGTAAAGGTCTGGAGCGCCCTGCGTGCTGCGCTCCGCAGCGCCTGCTGAAGCTGCCGCGGGCACGGCGTCACGCGGTGGGAAGCAGAAAGGGCGCTCACAGAAGAGGCTTTCGGGAGGCAGGCCCGAGGCGTCCGGGGACCCGCTTGTTGGGTAGAAATTTGTGGCACGGTTGATGCATCCGATGAGAAACGGCTCCCAGTAAGTTTTTTAATCCTTTTCCCCCAGTGACTGAACGGGGAAGAGATGCTACTGTCTTCAGAGATCAAGCTGCTGCCCCAAAGACTCCCAACCGGTCACGAGAGAGAGACACAGACAAGCAAACTCAGAATAAAGAGAAGCGGAAACGAAGGGGCTCCCTCTCGCCGCCCTCCTCTGCCTACGAGCGAGGCACCAAGAGGCCCGAGGACAGGTGCGTGCAGAGCGCTCAGCTCACCCTGGGCTGGCCCCACGGGCTTGTGGAATGAGACTTCCTCCTGGGAGTGTGAACCTGCAGGGAATGTGAGGCATCTCTTGGCGCTCGTGTGAGCCGTGAAGACAGAATCCTTTCGAGGAGCCAAAGCCTTGTTCTCTGGGAGCCGGGTGGGGGTTGGCGGCGGAGGACGGGCAGCGGATGCTCGTAGGGAAAGGCCACCTGGTCACCAGCAGGGGCTCCGGCATTCCCTCGGAAGAGTAGATTGTGTCCACTAAGCCGGGTCAGTTGTTGATTTGGGGCTGTGTGGTATGAAACAGTAGCTGATCATGCTTGGTTTACAGTCCCCTGACTGCAAAAGAGATGGGACATCTTGTATATTTTTGCCATTTCTGTTCTCTCTTCTGTGAAGTAGCTTTATGTGTTCTGTTCATTTGTTATTTGTCTTTTGAGTATCGGGAGGCTTTTTGTTTGTTTGTTTTTAATATGTCTTTATTGATTTCAGAGAGAGAGGGAAGGGGAGGGGGAGGGGGAGGAAAATGGAAACATCAACGAGAAAGAAACCATGATTGGCCGCCACCTCCTGGCAGCCCGGACACGTGTCCTGTCCAGGAATCAACCAGTGACCTCCTGGTTCATGGGTCAACACTCAACCACTGAGCCGCACTGGCTGGGCTGTTAGGAGTTTTTTATATACGACATTCTAAATACAATTATGTTTTGCTGATAACTTTTGCCAGTATTTTTTCCCTAGTTGTGCCTTGTGCTGGGCTCGTTTTGTTCTTCTGACAGAATTTGTTCGCTGTGGTTGAGTGTGTCCTGTGCTGTGTTTCCTTCATGGCTGGGTGGTGCTCACTGTGTTTTAGGAGGGCTCTTCCCAGCTTAGCAGTAGCATGTCCTACTTGGCGTTGCACAGAGAAGAGAATATGAACGTGGCTCTGTTCTTCCATGTGTTCATGTTCGTCCTTTGTGGGTATTTGTCATAAATGTGTGTGGCCAAATGTGTCATTCTTTATCTTTATCTTTTATTTTGATTTCTGTTTAATTTCAGAATGTGTGGTTATAGGTCTGTCCCCAACTATGAAGAAGAATCTGTTTAAGATGCTATATGTGTCTTTAATTTGAAAGCTAGCAGTTTAGAATGTGATAAACTTCCTTTTTCATCTATGTGTCTGTTTCCGTGGGCTTCTCTTCTATTTGCAAGGCTCCTGAGTAACGTTGTGTGATTTTATAACTAATTGGAGCTGGTGTAATGAATGACTGAGTATTGAGTGACATACACTTAGTGCTTTGATTGTGGCTGTAATGTAGGAGCCACTTTTTGTGATGCTCCTACTGTTTTCTTTCTAGATACGATACCCCGAGCTCCAAGAAGAAAGTGCGGAAGGACCGCAACAAGCTCTCCACGGAGGAACGGCGGAAGCTCTTCGAGCGGGAGGTGGCTCAGCGGGAGGCGCAGAAGCAGCAGCAGCAGATGCAGAGCCTGGGGATCACGTCTCCGCTGCCCTACGACTCTCTCGGCTACAGCGGCCCTCACCACCCCTTTGCCGGCTACCCACCGGGGTACCCCATGCAGGCCTATGTGGACCCCAGCAACCCCAATGCTGGGAAGGTGCTCCTCCCCACCCCCAGCCTGGACCCCGTGTGCTCCCCTGCTCCTTACGATCACGCTCAGCCCCTGGTGGGACACTCTGCGGAGCCCCTGGCCGCCCCCCCATCGGTCCCCGTGGTGCCACACGTGACGGCCCCCGTGGAAGTGTCCAGCTCGCAGTACGTGGCCCAGAGCGAAGGGGCGGTGCACCAGGACTCCAGCGTCACCGTCCTGCCAGTGCCGGCCGCAGCCCCGGTTCAGGGACAAAATTACAGCGTTTGGGAGTCAAACCAGCAGCCGGTCAGCGTGCAGCAGCCCTACTCGACGCCCACCCAGTCGCAGCCGACCATCTATTACCAAGGACAGACCTGTCCAACCGTCTACGGCGTGACGTCCCCCTACTCCCAGACAACACCCCCCCTCGTGCAGGTGAGTAACCTGGAGCCTCTCTGACTTACTCACGTTTGTTACGGGAAGTTAGACTGATAGGCGGGGAATCCTGACATGGGTCAGTGTATATACTGACCAGTACCGGCTATGTACTACATAACAAATTAAAACTGAGCCGCGTAAGACAGCAGTAATGTCTTCCAGGCTCCGTGGCCAGCGATTCGGGAGCAGCTGGGCAGGGTGACTCTGGCTCTGAGCCGCCGTGAATGTTCGTTAACCAGGGCTGTCGTCACCTGGGGACCGCGGGTGCCGGAGTCGCTTCCAGGCTCACTCGCCTGGGTCCTCAGTGTACCCGGGCCCTCAGGAGGGCTTCTTACCACCGGCCGGCCGGCCTCCCCGAGCGAGAGAGAAGGCGGCTTTTCTTAATCCTCACCAGGGATGTTTCCCCCATTGCTTCCTTTTATTTTATTTTATTTTCAGAGAGGGAGAGGAAAAATTAATGATGAGAGAGAATCACTGAGTGGCTGCCTCCTACATGCCCCACGTGGGAATCGAGCCCGCAGCCCAGGCGTGTGCCCTGACCGGGAATCGACCCGTGACGCCCAGTTCATAGGTCGGCGCTCCACCACTGAGCACACCAGCCGAGCGTGGAGATGTTTCAGGCTGTGTTTATATTTATGCTGCGGAGTTGGCTTTTGTGTGATTTCACGTCGCCTCCAGGGGACAGCCAGCAGAGGGATTTGACAGGCACCTGCTATTGGAACATCTCACAAGTGCATCTGTGCTATTCAGTGATACTGCAAACCAGTTTCCCCTTTTTGCTGATGTTGGTTTGGGCTCTGGCTGTGGCATATGGTTGCCAGCTGGTTTGGGTAGATCCGTGGAACCTGGGAGTGTTCCCTTTCCGTGTGGACACTAGACCTCCAGGCGGTGCCAGCACAATGCTGATTGCTGCTTCCTGGAGTGAGAGAAGGCACTGAGCGTCTGCTTCCTCTTCAGAGCTATGCCCAGCCGAGCCTGCAGTACCTCCCGGGGCAGCAGATCTTCTCGGCGTCGGGCGTGGTGGTCCAGCCGGCCGCGGCCGTGACGGCCGTCGTGGCGCCGGGGCAGCCCTCGCCCCTGCAGCCGGTAAGAAGCTCCGCCGACGGGACGCTCAAACTGACCGACCGACCTCATATTTTTATACTTTGCTGTGAATTTCCGAAGTATTGCTTGCATAGACCAGCGGTTATTGGTGATGCTGTAGGAGACTGTACCAGACATGGACTCGTTAGTACAGTGAGGAGCTGAGTGCTGTGCCATGTGTGCTGAGGGGAGCTTTGGGTGTTCGCCGGATGTAGAAAGATGTGGTGAAACCTCGATGACGTGTTGTTTTGGGATGAAATGGGAAATAGGAAGCAGTTGGGAATCTAACAGTCACATGATGAGGACAGCAGTTCTGAAGAAGGGAAAGCTCTGCGAGTGCTGGTGGCTATAGGCGGGTGGGGGTGGCGAGGGGGTCGTGGGCTGCAGAGGAAGTCGTGTTCACTCAAGCAGGAGTGCCCGGGCTTGGTATGCGTTTTTAATACAAACACAACATTGCATTCCTGTTATTAGAAGTCAGCATTCTAAGAGTTGAGGATCATGATGAATGATACTTAAATTAATCAGAGTTTAATGCCATGAGAGGTACAGAGGAAGAGTTTGAGGAAAGAAACATTCCCAGGAGGGGAAGGATTAGTAATGTATTAAATATCGAATGGTGTGTACTATTAAGCGACACCAAAGCTTGGGGAAGAGGCCAGACAAAGGACTGCAGGAATGGGAGGTGGATCACGCAGCTACGTGAAGTAGACTCGAGGGGTGTGCACGAAGCAGCAGCCTCCAGACCGTGTGTGCCTAGAGGAGACGTGCCGTCGGGGACCGGGCTCCTGTGGCTGCTCAGGCAGAGAGGAAGCTGTTCTGTGCGTGTCTCTCTTCTAGCCGGAAATGGTGGTGAGCAACAACCTCCTGGACCTGCCTCCGCCCTCTCCTCCCAAACCAAAAACCATCGTCTTACCTCCCAACTGGAAGACCGCCCGGGACCCCGAAGGGAGGATCTATTACTACCACGTCATCACGAGGTGGGCACTCGGCACAAGGTGGGAGGCTGTCAGATGGACGGCGGGCCTAGGCTTTCGTCTTAGCTGTTGGGGTGTATTTTTGATCTGCAGACTCTTCTGGAGAAACAAAGGGGTTTTAAAAAAACAGCAATGACTTCATTAGCGTAGATATGGGGTCATGGGCAGGCGTCTTTTGTAAAAGACAGATCCCTGGCCGGATTGGCTAAGTGGTAATCGGCCCTCGGAATGAAGGGTTGTGGGTTCAGTTCCCGGTGAGGGGCATGTAGGATCCCTCTGTTGCAGGCAGGATCCTCGGCCCTAATCAGGCACATGTGGTAGACAGCCAGTCGATGTCTCTCTAACATCAGTGTGAAAGAAACACCAGATGGCTGCCTCCTGCATGAGCCCCGACCAGGGCCCACGCTGGGGAGGACCCTGCAACCCAGGTGCGTGCCCTTGACCGGAATTGAACCCAGGGCCCTTCGGTCCACAGGCCAGTGCGCTCTATCCACTGAGCAACACCGACTAGGGCTGAGCCCTTTAAAAAAAAAAAGTTGCGTTGGTCACAGGTAAGCCTGTTCCACAATCATCTGAAAACGGACAGTGTCAGGTGGCTTTAGTGCTGCTGACGGGGTCTGGGTGGTGGAGCAGAGGTGCGGGGCAGAAGTCTGTTCTGCTGGACAGCGGCCTCTCCCTCCCTTCCAGGCAGACTCAGTGGGACCCGCCCACGTGGGACAGCCCCGGAGACGAGGCCAGCCTGGAGCATGAAGCCGAGATGGACCTGGGAACCCCGACCTACGACGAGAACCCCATGAAGGTGCGTGCGGCGTGCGCCTGTGTCCTGTCGCTGGGGAGCCTGCCGGGTCCTGCTCGGGTTCTGTTCTCCTGCTTGTTCTGGAGAATTCCACGTGTCAGTGCTGGGGCGGGGGCGGGGGCGGGGCGGCTCGGACGTGCTGACAACAGAAACGAGGTCCGTGGAAGAGCAGCGACGAGCCTTCCCTGCCGCTCAGCTGCTCTCCGTCCACTCTGGGATACGTAGCACTTCAGGCAGGATTCTCAGGAGGATCGGCCTAGCACTGTGCTTTCTCTGTTCCTAGGCCTCAAAGAAGCCCAAGACAGCAGAGGCAGACACCTCCAGCGAGCTGGCTAAGAAGAGCAAGGAAGTGTTCCGGAAGGAGGTAGGCTTGGTGGGGCTTGCTCAACTCGTCCTGAGCACGCCAGCTCGCCCCCTCGCCTCACCCCACCCCCCTGCACTGTGACCCCCCTCACCCCGCTGCAGTGTGAATGCAGAGAAACGTGGCCCTGATCTGAGTGCCTTCAGTGAGGAGGTGCCTGCGTCTCCGGGGTCGCTGAGCCCCTGGCAGCACTGGGCGCGCTCTCTGAGCCGGGGCCTGGTTCCAGTGGAGCTCGGACAGGCAGGACCTGCTTTCTCCAGTCCCAGCTGCCGGCCTCCGGCCAGGCCCGCTCAGTCCACAGGGAGCTCCCCTCTGTCTGAACCCCCAGCATGCTCGCCCCGTCCAAACCAGCCACACGGAGGCAGGAGGGCCCCTCTGCTTCCTGCCTGTCGGGGGCGTGAGCAGTGCTCTCTGCCTGCAGATGTCCCAGTTCATCGTCCAGTGCCTGAACCCCTACCGGAAGCCAGACTGCAAAGTGGGGCGGATCACCACCACGGAGGACTTCAAGCACCTCGCTCGAAAGGTAGCTCCCAGCGCTGGCGGGCAGCGTTGTGGGCAAACTCCACCGCCGTCCCAGTGGTGCTGCCTTCTAAATGGCCCCCCCATGGGAAGTGGGCGTCCTGGCCTGACTCCCAGGCTCGGACCCAGGGATGGAGGGAAGGTTTGAGAAGGAAGGGCCCCACCTGGGTGTACTGACTCTAAGAAACGTCCAGAGCTGAGCTGCTCCTCTTGTGGCCCCAGCACCAGCCTGTGTCCCCCCCCCCCCCCCCCCACACACACACACACTCACACACTTCCTTCTGTCCAACTCCAGTCTTGGTTAGAGGGCCAGAGGCCAAGGCTGGCCTTCCTGCTCAAGTGGTGTCCCCCCTGACGGGCGGCCCTGTTCTCTGCGTCCTGACAGCTGACTCACGGCGTCATGAACAAGGAGCTGAAGTACTGCAAGAACCCAGAGGACCTGGAGTGCAACGAGAACGTGAAGCACAAGACCAAGGAGTACATCAAGAAGTACATGCAGAAGTTCGGGGCCGTGTACAAGCCCAAAGAGGACACGGAGCTGGAGTGACGGGCGGGCGGGGCGGAGCAGGCAGGACCGATGTGGGGAGGAGCCGCGGCCGCCCTGCCCGCTGCCATCACAGCTGTGCTACTGATGCCCTCACCGGCCTGCTGCAGAGCCGAGAGCCAGCGAGCCCGTCTCAGCAGGCGGTCCCCGTCGGGAGCTGTGGGAGGCCGGGGCCCCGGGAGACGCTTCCCTCGGACCCTGGCCCGGCCGGACCCCTCCCCCGGTCTCCTCCTTGGCGGTGCTGTCGGCGCACAGACCATGCGCTTCCACCACACCCTGTCCCCGACGACCTGTACTATATTTTAATGTATATGTGAATATATTGGAATAATCTGTTGTTTTCCTGGTTTTGTTTGTTGTTGTTTTGCTTTTAGCCTTTCCATGCTAGGATCACAGAAGACTTTGTAAGGACGGTTGAAGTGCTCCTGCAAGGTTTAATTTGTTATCATGTAAATACTCCAAAGCAGGCCGCCTGTGGTTCGGCCAGCCTCGTGCTATGTTGATAAGATTGATTTACTGCTTAAAATCACTTTACTTTATCCAATTTTTACTGAACTTTTTATGTAAAAAATAAAATTAATTAAAGAAGGTGGTGTGTGTGTTCCCTCAGAGCTAGTCAGCATGCGTGTCTGACGCTGCCGGAGTCCAGAGTTCGCCTGAGGGTGGAGTTTGCAGCAGATGCTGGAGGTGAACTCTGCGCTGAGCCCACAGTTCTGCATCCTGCACAGGAACACACGGCCTGCAGCCCAGGTTCCTCCTGTAACTCAGGACCCCAGCCTCCTACCACCCACTATCTCACAGGCCCCGGAGCCAGACAGAGCCCGCACAGTAACCAGAGCTGCCTTTACTGTGATACAAAAGTAGGAAAAGGGTTAAGGCCAGGAAGGGGAGCGGACAGGGAGCAGGAGGACAGGCCCACGGTCCTGCCCATCTCCCACAGCCACGTCTCCGTCTCCGTCTCAGAGGAACGTGGGGCCAGGGGAGGAGGGCGGTGGCTGCACCTGAGTCCCTCCAGATGGAGCAGGCGGGGCCCGCCCGCGCCAGGAAGCCCATGGCAGGGAAGCATGGGGGAGGGCGTGGTGGGGAGCACAGGGTGCACCCGAGAGGCCAGGCTCCGGGGGCCTGGCTCACACCACAGAGCAGCCCCCAGGCGGGAGGCCCAGCACCTGGACCACGTCTTCACGGCCCAGGGCGGCCAGGGCCTCCCCCAGCACGCTGAGGGTAGCGCCGCTGCCTCCCTGGGCGGCCCAGTCCCTCAGCAGCGCACAGGCAGGCCCCCGGCCCCGGGCCAGGGTCTCCACAGCCTCGGTCTGGAAGCCCAGGCGGCCTGCCAGGCCCTGCCAGCCCTTGTGGGGGTCGCCCGGCCCTCCCAGGAGCCGCTCCACTTCCTCCCGTTGCTGCCGAGGGAGATGGAGGTAAAGCTGGCCGCCGAGCTCCGGCTGTGGCCCTGGGGTGGGAGACACGAGCGTCAGGGGCTGGCGGCGGGCAGAGCGAGGGCCCTGCTCCGCGGGAAAGGGACTCACCCTGGCTGGGGGCATGGGGCCCCGGGGCCCCGTCGAGGCCGCCCGGCTCTGCAGCCCGCGCTTTGGCCAGCTGCCGTCTCTGCTGATTGGAGCGCCAGCTGTGGGGAGCAGGAGCCCTGCCAGCCTGCTCCGACTTCACTGAGACGGGGAGCTAGCTGGGAGTCCGGGCGGGAAGGGGTCCCACAGGGCAGTACCCAGGCCACCTACCACTTGAAGGCCACATAGGCAAGCAGACCGAGCACCACGGTGGCCAGGAGGGCATAGTAGACAGGGGTGCTGCTGCCTGCAGCCCCTGGAGGCTCAGGGGGGAATGGGGAGGAGGTATTGCAGGCTGGGCCGCTCCCTTCGCCTACCCACTCTCCCTCCCTGTCCCTGTCCTGCTCCTTCCAGGTCTGATCTGTGGAAGGAAGGAAGGAAGGACAGGGTCAGAGGCAAGGAATCCAGCTGGGATCCCTGGGCAGTCTCTCCTAGACTTGGCTCCAAATGATTTGAAACAATAGTCCATACTCTATAGTCAAAAGCTCATACATGCCTGGCCAGTGTGGCTCAGTGGTTGAGCGTCAACCTATGAACCAGGAGGTCATGGTTCGATTCCCAGTCAGGGGCTGTGGGCTCGATCCTCGGGTAGAGGGTGTGCAGGAGGCAGCTGATCCATGATTCTCTCTCATCATTGATGTTTCTACCTCTTTCTCTCTCTTCCTCTCTGAAAACAATAAAAATACACTTTCAAAAAACTGCAACTCAAGAATCTAGACCAGAATGCTCAGGTAAAACTGAAATTACAAAAGCTCACGCACCGCATTCAGAGCAGACTGGCTGCTTCCCATGTTCCTCTCCCACAGCCTCCCCTTGCTCACCACCCTCCCCAGCTGCCCTTCATGCTCCGGCCTGGAACCTCCCAGGCGCCTGCACCTGCTGATGCTCCTGGTTTCCCCCCTTCCTGCCTCTGATTGCACCTCTTCTGTCTACTGTGGACTGGACTTCATCTCCTCTCTTCCCCAGAGGAGTCCAGATGGTGAGAGCACCTTGAATCGCGGTCTCCATGGGGCCTCCGTGCACAGGAGACCTTGCACATTTTTGCAACATGAAGCTGCACTGGAAGGCAAGCAAATGCTGCTGCTTCCTTCCTTCTGCCCGGAGGCCAGCTGCTGCCGCAGCCCGTGCGGCAGGGCCCCGCGGACAAGCTCGCCAGAGCCCGTGACGGAACTTGTGTGACTTGCCCACCTGGGCTGCCTTCCGACCTGCCAAGCGCCACAGTGGCCAGGAGGTGCTTACCGCCACGGACCGTGCCGTCCTGGTGGCTGGCGTTGTGCGGCATCGCTCTGCCGGCGGGCGCTCCCGGCGCTGTCTCTTCGTGGAGAAGGGGGTGGCGTGTGAGGGGCAGGGCCTGGGCACGGAGCTGGGGACTGTGTGTAGGGACACGGGGGGGGGGGGGGGGGAGCGATACCACAGGCCTGATGTCAGGGGTCCCGCTCCTGACCCACTGCATCCTGATTCCCTCCAGGGCAGGCTGACCCCACACACCCACTCATCAACCTGGACCCGTTTTCTCTGTGTCAGGTGGAGTGGAGTGAGAGAACTGGCCCCAGCTGGCCGAGAGGAGGCAGGATGCAGCTCAGGAGGCGGGATGCAGCTCAGGAGGCGGGCAGGTGGGCAAACCAGAGTCCAGGGATGGCATGGAAGGACCAGGGAGATGCCCACCCTGTCCCAGCTCCATCACTGGCTGGTGGGAGGCCAGGAACCCGGCACCCTGGGCCCACCCGGAGTCTCCAGTGTGCCCCGCCCTCCCCTCCTGCTGAGAATGGACAGCAGGGTGTCGTGGGTCCAGCAAGGTCATAGGCATATGGGCCAGAGGCCAGAAACATGAAGGACAGGACCCCTCAATCCCAGGACCCATCTGGACCTACTGGGCTGATCCTGCTGGGACCCACCTCCCCAGGCCTGGGGGCGGAGGCCCAGTCTGCGCTAAGGAAGGATCTTGTCTGGAAAAGGGATGAAGAGCTGGGGGAGCCCCCGAACCCGCGGGCCACACTCACTGCCTGGCACGAGGCCGGGCGCCCAGGCTTACGGCGAATGCAGTTGGCAAGTGGGTCTGGGACCGAGGCCCAGGCCCTGCCACGTGTCCGGGTGTGTGAGTGTGTCACCCACCGCACAGGGGCCTTTGTGGGGTGCTGGCTGATCCCGGTTGGTGGGTGAGCCTGTGACTGAGTCTCATGTCTGCCTGACCCAGCTGAGCTGCGGCATTGGAGCCTCCACCACCCACACCACGCACCGGCCCGGGACCCACAAAACAGGCCCACACCCGCCTGGCTTCCCACACAGGTTCCGCCCAGCCGGGTCTCCAGGGGGTGCAGAGGCAGCTCGGGCCCCGCTCCTGACCTGAGGCGGCCAACCCTCCGCGGGCCCAGATCCGCTCACCCTGGCGGGCCGAAGCCTCAGTTCCCAGGGGCCGGCCGAGGAGACGGCGTGGAATCCCGGGGAGGCCGGCTACTGGCCCGCCCAAGACAGGCGGCGCGAGGAAGAGCGCGGAGGGCCGGGCAGGGCAGGGCTGGGCGGGGCCGAGGCCTCTCGACGCCCCAAAAGGACCGCGCAGACGCGCCCACTCTTCGCTGCCCGGAAGGCGGCCGGGCGGCCACGTGTTGGACTGAGTGCGAACAGGAGTGGGGAGGACGGCCCAGGGGCCGAGGGGCAGGTCGGGGAAACTGAGGCCACGGAGAGGACGAGCCGCCCTGGAGGGACCCAGACCTCATGGACCCGGGCGGGCTGGGCCGCGCGCGCAAACGCAGGAGGCGGAGCAGCTACAAAACTAGGCCGTTTATTGCCGAGAACGGGCCGGGCCGCCTTGGGGTTAAGGCCACGGCCGGTCCCTGTGCTGCCGGAACGGGGCTGGGGGCTGGGTCCCCGGCCCCAGACTCTGCAGAAAGTGCTGTGCGGTCCGCGGGGCCAGTGCCGGGACGCCGGATGCCCCTCTGCCGGCGAGGGGCGGGACTTCCGGGAGTGACTCTGCCCGCCAATCCCTGAGCTGGGTGGGGGTGAGGAACCGCCCACCCCGAGTGCCAGCTGACAGCTCCGCTGACTCCTGGGCGGGGCCTCCGGGTGAGGCGGGCCCCGTGCTGGGGACGGGCCTCCGGATTGGGTGGGGCCGCGCTGGGGGCGGGGCCTCCGGTGGGCGGGGCCGCGCGGGGCCGGACAGGCGGTCAGCGCGCCTCCTCGGGTCTGTACTCCGTCTCCCCCGAGGACACCTGCGAGATGCGCCGCGAGGAGGACCGCCAGAGCTTCCGAGCGAACTGGCCGCTGCGCACCTGGGGGGGCGCGGGTGGGTCAGCCACGACCACCCCTCCCCGCCCCACTCGAGCTCCCCTGCCGGCCCTGGTCCTCACCTTGGAGGGCTGCCCCGCGCCCACCACGATCAGCTTGCCGTCCTCCAGACCCACAAGCACGTGGCTGCGCTCCTTGGTCACAGCCATGCTGCGGATGGGCACCTTCATGGGCAGGGGAGGCGCAGCCGGAAGCAGTCTGGAGGGAGGGAAGGAGGGAAACCTGGACTCGAAAATGGCAGGCAGCTTGCACCCAGCTGACTCTTCATTCTCCTAATTGCCCTGTTTGCCCCCGTTTGCAGGACGGCTCAGTTGAAACCCTGACCAATGAAGAGATCTCCCACGGACGTGAGGCTAAGGGAGGCCAAGGGCGGGGCCTCCCCGGTGGGGGCGGGGAGTCAGGGGCAGGACTTGCAGGCCGTGCCCATGAGCATGCACAGAGGGTGGGTGTGGGTGCACAGGGGCACCTCCTGGTTCCTCTGCCAACGGCCACCCCCTGAGGGACCGTGAACCCACAGACAGGCTCACTTGTTCAGGTGGAGGATGTGCAGGGCACACTGGGCCGTGCCCAGCAGAGCGAAGTCCTCTGTCACCGCCAGGGCGGTGGGCTGCTCCCCCAGGGGCAGGGAGGCCCGCAGCCTTCCGTTCACCGAGTACAGGTGCAGGGCGTAGGTGACCTGGGAGAAGCAGGAGGTGTCAGCGAGCACAGAACCCCCACCGCCCCGGCCTGCCTGGGTGCCCTTCCCCGCACCTGAGCCCCCAGACGTTCCCGCGCCGAGCTCTGCACCACGATCTGGCCCTCGGACCCCAGCGCCAGGTGGGACACGGGTCCGGGCAGCATGGCCCCCGGGGGCCGCAGAGCCGCCACAAACTGCCCACGGCGCACTGTGTGGATGATCACAGCTCCGTCCTGCGGGAAGGCAGCTTAGGGTGCCTGGCAGGGGCTCTGGGTTCCAGAGGCAGCACCCAGCAAACTCAGCACCCAGCCCCCACCCTCCCCGCCCCCGGCACCGGCACCGGCACACACAGACCTCCGACCCGGACACAGCCATGTCAAGTTCCGTGCTGATGGCCACACAGCTCACCGCGGCTTCGTGCCCGTAGAGGACCTGTATGGGCTTCGGTGCCAGTCCCACCGAGACGCCACCCTGTAGGAGCCCAGGGCTGTCTCAGGCCTGGGGCACCCGTGATCCCGGCCCCTGAACGAGGAGGCTCAGGCTCAGCAGCGAGAGGGGACCCGGTAAAGCCAGAGAGCTGGCGGGTCGTGGAGGGAAGGGGACGAGACAGGAGCAGGACTAGAAGCCTGCTGGGGGGGTGGGCGCAGGGCTGACTGCGGGGCTGCCCACCCGCACACCTGATGCAGGAGCTGCCACACCAGGCAGGTGGTGTCCCGGGAGCCCGAGATGAGGTAGAGGCCGCAGGAGTCCAGTGCGAGGCAGGTCACTATGTCTGCGGGGCGGGGCGGGGCAGTCCGGTGGAACGGACCGTCAGGCCACTCCGGGCACGCCGCCCGCCCCGCCCCGCCCCGCCCCAGCCGCCGGGCGCCCGTACCCAGGTGGCGGTGGATCTGGCTCAGCAGCTTGCCCCGCGGCAGTGCGGTCACGCAGAGGCTGCCGTCCCAGTGGCCACCACTGAACAGCAGCTTCCCGTCCGGGGCCACTGCCAGGGCCTGCCCGCTCAGGCCACCGCCCGGGACCCAGGGGCCGCTCAGCAGCCGCTGCCCCCTGGCCGAGGGAGGGAAGGACGGGTGAGGCCGGGGTCCCTGGCCAGACCCCGCGCCGGCCAGCGTTCTGCTTCGGGGACCCCCGGCCCCGCATAGCCCTCTCACTTGGTGGAGTCTTTGATGAACCTGAAGTAGTTGCTTATGTTGCGGTCGTAGGGCGACCAGCTGTGGGTGCCCAGCAGCCCGTTGGCACTCACGGTCACCTGCGGTCAGGGGGGCAGAGGCCGGTTTGGGGGCAGTCGGGGGACGGAGGCCGGTTTGGGGGGCGGTCGGGGGGCAGAGGCCGGTTTGGGGGGCGGTTTGGGGGACGGAGGCCGGTTTGGGGGCGGTCGGGGGGCAGAGGCCGGTTTGGGGGCGGTCGGGGGGACGGAGGCCGGTTTGGGGGCGGTCGGGGGGCAGAGGCCGGTTTGGGGGCGGTCGGGGGGACGGAGGCCGGTTTGGGGGGCGGTCGGGGGGACGGAGGCCGGTTTGGGGGGCGGTCGGGGGGACGGAGGCCGATTTGGGGGGCGGTCAGGGGGGTGGGGCGGCGGGCATCCTGCCCAGCGCACTCACCAGCAGGTCCGGCGTCATGGAGGAGTGCAGCTGCCGGTGGGGAACCATGGCCAGCACCAGGGGCACGCCATCGCTGATGAGCTGCGGGTGGAGGGCAGGCGGGCTGTGTCCGAGGCCAACCTGCCCCAGCTGCTCCCTGGGCACCGCTGCCTCCTCTACCCTCCGCCCCAGGGGCCCCTGGCTGTGGCACAGAGGCCCAGGTCCCACCGGGAAACACGTGTGAGACCAGAGGTTTTCAGGGGGCAGCTCAGAAGCTGAGTGAGAAGCTGGGACGAACAGGGCCTCCAGCTTGGTCCACCCGCCCGTCACTCCCTGCCCCCAGCCTGCGGGCAGGAGGGGGCAGGCCTGAGCGTTCTGGGACGCGGACAGGAAGGATGCCCTCCCTCCCTGAGGCCCCGAGGTGCTGTCCGGGCCTTTTCCTGGCAGCTGCTCGCCCTCGGCTCTTGGCTTCCCCGGGGGCCTGGGAATCGGTGGCCCTGATTGATGTAGGCCTGCCGTCTGCCCCAACGGCTGGTAAGGAAGCAGCAGGTTCAGCTCATCTCCTCTCACCTCCGCAAAGAAGGCCCGGAGCTGGCCCAGGTGCTGGAAGATGCTGGGCGAGCTGGTGTCCAGGCGGGCCAGGCGCTGGGCGGCCTCCTCCGCGGACAGCCGGGCCGGGTGCGGCTCCTGTGGGCGAGCGGCCAGTTAGCTCCGGGGCCCGGACACCCCCTCCCCGGGCTCCACGCCGCCTTACCCTGAGCAGCTGGCAGGGAGTCTGCCCGAAGTTGCTGATGATGCCCTCCAGCGCCTTCCGTTCCCGCTCGTCCGTCACCTGGTCCAGGTCCACAGCCCCTGGTGGGCAGACGGAGCGGTCAGGACTCCTCTGTGCTCCCGGCCCCTACGCTGCCTCCTCCGCGCCCAGCCTCCACAGGCCCAGCCTCCAGGGGGCCCAGCCTCCACAGGCCCAGCCTCCAGGGAGCCCAGCCTCCAGGGGGCCCAGCCTCCAGGTGATCCCAGCCTCCAGGGAGCCCAGCCTCCAGGGGGCCCAGCCTCCTGGGGGCCCAGCCTCCACAGGCCCAGCCTCCACAGGCCCAGCCTCCAGGGAGCCCAGCCTCCACGGGGCCCAGCCTCCAGGGAGCCCAGCCTCCAGGGGGCCCAGCCTCCAGGTGATCCCAGCCTCCAGGGAGCCCAGCCTCCAGGGGGCCCAGCCTCCACAGGCCCAGCCTCCAGGGAGCCCAGCCTCCAGGTGATCCCAGCCTCCAGGGAGCCCAGCCTCCAGGGGGCCCAGCCTCCAGGGGGCCCAGCCTCCAGGTGATCCCAGCCTCCAGGGGGCCCAGCCTCCAGGGGGCCCAGCCTCCAGGTGATCCCAGCCTCCAGGGGGCCCAGCCTCCAGGGGGCCCAGCCTTCACGGGGCCCAGCCTCTAGGGAGCCCAGCCTCCAGGGGGCCCAGCCTCCACAGGCCCAGCCTCCACAGGCCCAGCCTCCACAGGCCCAGCCTCCAGGGGGCCCAGCCTTCACGGGGCCCAGCCTCCAGGGAGCCCAGTCTTCACGGGGCCCAGCCTCCACGGGGCCCAGCCTCCAGGGAGCCCAGCCTCCAGGGAGCCCAGTCTTCACGGGGCCCAGCCTCCAGGGAGCCCAGCCTCCAGCGGGCCCGGCCTCCACGGGGCCCGGCCTCCACGGGGCCCGGCCTCCAGGGAGCCCAGTCTTCACGGGGCCCAGCCTCCACGGGGCCCGGCCTCCAGGGAGCCCAGTCTTCACGGGGCCCAGCCTCCATGGGGCCCGGCCTCCAGGGAGCCCAGTCTTCACGGGGCCCAGCCTCCACAGGCCCAGCCTCCAGGGGGCCCAGCCTTCACGGGGCCCAGCCTCCATGGGGCCCGGCCTCCAGCGGGCCAGCCTCCGCGGGGCCCAGGGGTGCCCACCCTCGTAGGTGCAGTAATAGAAGACGTTGAGGG